CAGGTTTGGCTTGCTCCAGCGCCCCCACGCCGCCCCTTTTCGTTCTACCGCCCTCCTGAAAAATGAAATCGCCCCCTGGGGAGCATTATCGCCCACGTTAAGAACCACTGCTGTAGAGCATCCAACTATATTGAACTTAGGGATTCAAAGCCTGTCTGAAAAGGAGCATTTTCACTTGTCTTCAAAAGGCCAAGAGAAGATTGGGGCAGCGTAGCCTCACTGGGGAGGACGTGGGGGCAGCCACCAAGAAGGCCATCTTTTGGGACCACATCAAGTGTACCTGTAAAAGGTGACGGGACGGGGGGGGAGAGGCCTCCCCAGAAGATCTAAGACCTGAGGAGGGTTCTATGGTGAGATCTAGCCTGTCAGATATCTCGGGCTGAAGCAGCCTGGACCCTAAGAAGGTAAGAACATCTATGCTACCTTCATACAGGTTGTAAGTTTCTCCAGTCCAACATTCTGCTCTCATAAGCCGAACGCCTGCCAGTGGGATTCTAGCGTGGCTGTGCCTTCCGTAGGCAAAGCAACATTTGGTGCTACCATCTGACAAGGGGGAGGACCCCGTTTCTCTTGTAAACCAGCCCTTGCATCTCCAGGCATGTGATGCCAGGGCACACATAACTCCAGCACTTTGTGGGCAAGAAGACAGGCGGATGGTTAAAATCCAGGCACCAATAAAGCTGCTGCTTACCCAGCCTCATTATTCAACAACCCTGCTTTGTACTGCCTCACCTCTGCTCTTCTTGAGACCCACGGCTTGGAAAAGTTACCTTTTAGACTACAACTGCCAGAATCCCCTAGCCACCTAACCCAGGGGAGCCTGGGACTTTTAGTCCTTCTGAGCTCTGCAGAAGTGCCCATTATACAGAGTCGGTGTTTCTATCCCATTATAAAGACCATTTCTGTATTTACCTGTGTACAGTATCCATGTGCACCAATGAGCTGGTTGGTACTCACATCAAAATCTCCACGAACTCTAGAAAAGGAGCAGAGCAGGATTAATATCTGAGCATTGAAGGAAGTCCAAAACAAGCTGCAAAACCTGATTGTTTCCCACAATAAAGGAAAATAGGGTATGTTGACACATAATAGTGATGACAATCTTCAAAAGACTATTGCACACGCAATATACTGTGAAATAACACACAGAAGCAAACAGGTGTAGAACTACAGTACTTCTCAAAGGAGCTTAGAACAAAGGATGCAATTACAGGATACACTATTGGCACATTTTTAGAAGAGGTGCTCCCTCAAGCAGTGAAAAATGTCTGCTTGCTACAGGACATGCTTTTCCTCAATTACTCCTCTTGCAATTAGCATGCATAGTTTTGGTCACCAGGAGGTAAACACAGGCTTGATTTGCAAGTCTGATTGCCAGGCATATATCTCTGAAGAAATCTCAGTTTGGGAACAGACCTATAGGGAATGCACATTTCCTTAAGTCCATTAAAAGAGCTCGCAATGTGTCTGAAGTTGGGATTCTCTTGTTTAAAGAAAAACAAATTTGGAAAAAACATTGGGCATACCTATGCTTGATGTAGTTTACATATTTAGTGATTTACACGCAAATTGCAAACATATAAACCCAGATCTAGCACAGAAGCATAAAAGCCCTTGGGAATGACTCTCTTTCCATAACAAGAAAACACTGGAATACATTACATTTTGGCATGATGACAAAACTAGCTCAAAGTGGCAGAATCAGTAATGCCTATTTTAAAAGTAGACATAAGAGTCGACTACAACTGTTAAGCCTCACTGTTAAACTATAACTATTAAAGCTGGACACCTGGCAAATGCTGAATTAGGTGTCAGACAAGTCTTTTGGGGTACATCAGGCGTAGAAAGTAAAGACCAAACCTTTGGAATGCTCATCCAAAATGGTGGAATAGCCACCACAGTATGACGAATTAAAGGCTTCAGCCAGTCCTATTTAGCAACCAAGAGCTGTATTTTGGACAAAGTGGCATTCCTGGGAAGTCTGCCAAAGCAACCCCGTTAGTGCATCTAATCCACTTGTTTGCTTCCCACCAGGAATTGTGACTTTCTGTGTAACAGCTACCGTGTCATGCTTGGGACACCCCAAATCCTATAATAAGCATGTGCAAATATAACTTGTTGGCATTTTGATTGGCCTCATGGATAAAACTCTTCTCTCTTTTTTAAAATCCCTGCTTAAAAATTAAAAGACCAGCTAACCATTTTATAGATTTGCAATAATGAAGTCAAGACTCTGAAGGAAATCTGAGTGGATTAGGCGATGGGTTTGACTTGAAAAATCCTCCTCACAAAAAACAAATATTATAGGCCAAGTTTTTTCCCCCAAGTTTATCTGAAAAAAGATGATTACAAGAATCAGACCGGAGAATCCTCCTAATTGTTCCTTTGATGCCGAGAGAAAATATGTAGTAGGTTGAGGGGTATGCAAGTGAACTAGAAGACACATACATACACATCCTTTTTTAAAAAAAGTCCAGATGCGGAGTTAGAAGATGGAAGAGAGATTGTTGTTGTTTAGTTGTTAAGTCGTGTCCGACTCTTCGTGACCCCACGGACCAGAGCACGCCAGCCCCCCCCCCCGTCTTCCACTGCCTCCCGGAGTTGGGTCAAATTCATGTTGGTCGCTTTGATGACCCTGTCCAACCATCTCGTCCTCCGTCATCCCCTTCTCCTCTTGCCTTCACCCTTTCCCAACATCAGGGTCTTTTCCAGGGAGTCTTCTCTTCTCTTCTCATGAGATGGCCAAAGTCTTGGAGCCTCAGCTTCAGGATCTGTCCTTCCAGTGAGAGAGAAGGACCTTGGAAAAAGTCTGGATACTGTACTTCAAGAAGGATGCCGACAAACTGGACCAAGTTCATAGGAGGGCAACAAGGATGATCAGGGGAAGTGGAAACCAAGCTGTAGGAGAAAAGACAGAAAGGACTGGGCAAGTTTAGCCTTGAGAAAAGAATATTAATGGGGAGATAGGACAGGACTTCTCCAATACTTGAAAGGTAGTCATCTAGAGGAAGGGCAAGATCTGTTCTCGATCAACCCAGAGTGCAGGGCATGTAATAATGGGCTCAAGCTACAGGAAGCCAGATTTTGGCTGAACATCCAAACTGTTGGAGCAGAACACTGTTGGAGCAGAATGACAATGGAACCCATGACCTCAGGAGTTGGTGAGAGCTCCAACGCTGGAGGCATTCAAAAGAAGAATTAGACAACCGTCTATCAGATATAATTTGATTTGAATTCCTGAACTGAGCAGGGGATTGAACTCAGTGGCCTTATACGACCCGTTCAACTCAATTATTCTATTATTCTACGATTTCCCTGAACTTTTTCCTGTGGTGGCCTCTCCAGATCCCTACAAATATGACATTGTGAACTGAGAGTTAGACTTCAATGCAGAGATTAAGGGGGCAAAGTGAGATACCTGAAAAATGGGTGGAAGCACATCCTGTGATCAGAAGACACTGTGTTGGGAAATTATCAAGCATAAATATGAATCCCACCTGGTAATTTCAGGAGGTGTGGAAGTATATGAAAAGTAGAATTCAGAAGGCTGATTTCAAGCAAACAATGTACAGTATTCCTATAAAGGGTGGATTCCAACAAAATCAACATTATTATTCCTACAGCTTCTCCTAGAGTTGGCTGCATTACTGACTGTTTCAAAATGTTTTCAGGGCTGATGTGACAAAGGAGATTGGGAGCAATTCTTGTGCATCTACAGCCAGAACCACTGTTGGCCACCAGCCACTTCTCAGCTTCAGGAACAGTTACGCCGTGGAAATCCCATTGCTGCGCTGGAGACGACAGGCCGATGCGACATGCGTCAATTAGGGGCTGTGGGACACAGAGTCTGGACAATAGAAGGAAGTGGCTAAATCCATCCTTGGGTGCAAACATTATGGGAATGTTGAGTTTTACCTAAGACATGCAAGGAGAAGGAACATCTGCAGTTCCCATCATCTGGGTTGGTGAGGAAGTAACCATCAAGGACGCATCCTGATGATTTACAGCCGGCTCGGGTTGTACTGAAATCACATATACCCATTTTCCAGGGTTGTTGCCTTTACAGACACACAACCCCAGAAAAGGGGGTATGTCATCAAAGATGGCTGTTTGGGTGAACACAAGAGACTGCCTGATGCGAGGGGCCCTGGACCGCTGAACTTAATTGTGACCCTTAACTGGTGGTGGTACACCTGGGTGGTAGGTCTGATCTCCACCCCATCGGTTGCTCATTTCATGCTGCCTGAGGTAGATCTGAGGTTCTCAGTCGTTGACTCTCCAGATGTTTACGAAGTCACTTTCCAGAATTCCTGGCCACTGGTCTTACTGAAGGCTTGTAACCGTTGAAGGCAACAACATCTGGAGCACTAAAAGTTGAGAACAGATGCTTCAAATCAACTTTTCCCAGTCTTGGTTCCTCATGGCCTTCAGCTCCCATCATCTCAGTGGCAATGGTGGTGGTGAGATGTTCTGTAGCCTCTCAGGACTCCAGATGGAGAAAGTCTATTTTCTAAAATGGCGGTACGGCAAATTCACTCCAGGGCACTCTGCCCGTTGACGTATACAGACAGAGATGAGAAACCTGGCCCTCAATCAGCCAGCTACACATATACCCCTGAGGGCAATTCATCATAAAATGGCAGGCCAATCTTGCTCTGGGAGTTCTATGTGGTGAGGGACATTTTAATCTTCAATTGCAATTCCCTGCTGTGGCCTGCAGAGCTCATGGACAGAACACTGTGGCTTTACTTTGAGCAGGATCAGATCAGGAAGCAGCTGAGGGAAAGATTTCTACCTAAGACTTTAGGGGAGCTGCTGGCAAAGGACATGATACGGACCCAGACTGACCGACAGTTTGACCCAATTTTAAGGCCGCTTCATATATATTCATATTAGAAAAGGGGAAAGTCATTTTTGAACTATCGCTTCAGAATCTGGTCAACCTGCATGACCATGCTGGCTGGGGGATTCTGGGCGATGAGGTACAAATAATTAAAACAACAACACCCAAACAGTTAAACTAATATTTTCCAAGCTCTGATTCACAAGAGAAATATGATGATTCCACAACTGTTGCTGATCTGTGTCGGCTGCTCTTGAGTCACTGATCCTTATGTTGGCAGATCCTTATGTTGACATTACCAGACCTAATTAGTTGAACATGTTGGGGAAGGAGGTCAGGTGGGCTTTTCACAACTGTCCGCACAAAGTGGTCAGGTGGGCTTTTGACCATTGTCATGTTGCTAGGAAAGGAGTTTTATATTGGTGGGATGTTATATTTTCTGTATTTTCTCTATTAATCTTCTTAATATGTTTTTAATTCAGTTGTGTTTTAATACATCAACTTGTTGGGTGCTTTAACTGTGTCTTTCATTCTACTGTTTGAAAGCAAAAAAAAGCCCACCCACACCCCCTAGTGACCAATTTTAAAATACAATTTGGAGGGGCTAGGGGTATGTATGGTTGCAGCCCCCCCCCCGAAACATGACAAAAGTTCCTCCCACAGCCCTTCCAAGCATAAAAAGGCCTTTTCAGAAAAACAGATACAAAACAATGTGTTGCTTTTGGGGTGCAGCCACACCTTGGAATACATGAGATAAAATGAAAGTGAAAAGTGAAACTCCACACCATTAAAAAAAAAACCATTTAAAATGTCTATACCTGCCTGTGGAAGTCTAGTTTCCCAACTATCCTATGCACAGAAACTTAGGAAGCTATCTTCTTGTGGATGAGACCATTGGCCCATCTACCCAATATAGTCAGCTTGGACTGGCAGCAACAGGTAGGTAATCAGGTGGCATCTTTTCCTAGTCCTACCTGGCACCTCCTGCAAGTTTCCCCCCCAAGGTGCTGGCCAAGCCCTATCCTGCTTAGCTTCTGGAATGAGACAAGATTTATATCGTGGTATTTACCGATGGCGTTTTTGGCAGGTTTTGTGTCCAAGATTTTTTTTTTACAAATGTTTATATGTCCGGC